AAATAAAATTAGCAGGGTTAATCCAATCAAAAATAAACATACCCAGGAACATGAAATAAGCATGATGACAGGATAAGAGGCTCTGGTCTTATCTTCCTCCCACAGATATATCAAATATAAGCTCTACATGGGTCAATTGCCTCTGAGAGAAATCCAGAAAGTAGCAGAGTGGCTCCTCAATACTGAGTGACTGAGAAGATATCCACCACGCAAAAGGGCAGGAAAGGCGGAAACACATACACACCATAAAACCCAGCCCTGGCAAAATAACTTCCGATCAGGAGAGAAGCCCCGATTCTCAGTATCTCCCTCAGCACCAAAAGGTTTGGACCAGGAATCCAGCAGCACAACTTTTCTTTTTTTTTTTTAACTTTTTATTTTATATTGGAGTATAGCCAATTAGGGCTCCCCTGGTGGTTCAGATGGCAAAGAATGCGCCTGCAGTGCAGGAGACCCAGGTTTGATCCATGGGTCAGGAAGATCCCTTAGAAAAGGCAATGGCAATCAACTCCAGGATTCTCGCCTGGGAAATCCCACGGACAGAGGAGCCTGGCAGGCTACAACCCATGGGGTTGCAAAGAGTCAGACACAACGAACAACAAAGCAGGCATAGCCGATTAACTATCTTGTGATAGTTTCAGGGGTACATCAAAGGGAGTCAGACTTATATATACATGTATGCATTCTCCCCCAAACTCACCAGCCACCCAGGTTGCCACAGAACATTAAGCAGAGTTCCATGTGCTATACAGTAGGTCCTTGTTGGTTATCCATTTTAAATATAGCAGAGTGTATATACCATCCCAAACTCCCTAACTATCCCTTCCCCTCATCCTTATCCCTGACAACCGTACAATTATTCTCTAAGTCTGTGAGTCTCTTTCTGTTTTGTAAGTTCACTGGTATCATTTCTTTTTAGATTCCCCATATAAGGGGTGTTATGCGATATTTCTTCTCTGTCTGACTTACTTCTCTCAGTATGACAATCTCTAGATCCACTCAGCAGCACACCTTTTAAGGCTGCCACCCAAGGGACTGGCTTCCAAGTAGCCTAGTTCAGACAGCCACTGGGACTTGCCATCCATGAGTCTCCCATTAAACAAAGAAGTAGATTTTCATGTGTCCATGAGCACGTCTCATGGTTATTCCCAGGTGCATTACAGATGGGGAAGGCCAAAGCACCCAGCTCTCACTTTCTTCCTGGAAGGGGTTTGACTACTCACATTCTCAGTTGCAGCTTGAAGGTCCAGCTTTGAATCAGACCACACATGTATGCTATTAGGGATACTGCCAGGATACTGCTATCAGAGATACTACCAGGATACTGCTATTAGGGATACCAGCCTGAAAGGGCTGGTGGGCGCTTCCCCTGACTACCCTCCCCCACTCTTTGCTCAATTCAACAAGAAAACCAAGTCTCCAGTTTCTTCCTAATAGGAGCTTCTCTATACAATAAGAATCTCAATTTTTTTTTAAATTGAAGTATACTGATGTCCCTGGTGGCTCAGCAGTAAAGAATCCACCTGCAATGCAGGAGACCTGGGTTTGATCCCTGGGTTGGGAAGATCACCTGAAGAAGGAAATGGTAACCCACTCCAATATTCTTGCCTGGAGAATCCCATGGACTGAGGAGCCTACAGGTGGGCTAGTCCATGGGGTCGCAAAGACTCAGACACGACTGAGTGACTCACACACACAGACACACACACACATATTAATGTATAATGTTATATGTTATGGAGGTATAATATAGCGATTCACAATTTTTAAAGTCTATATTCCATTTCTACTTAAAAAATGTTGGCGATGCAGCCTCAACTTTTAAGGCTGTCACCTGAATGTTTGGATCCCATATCACCCAACTCTGAAATCTGACAAGGTCCACATTTATAGGTTCCCAGAGTCTTCTTAAGAGAAAATGTTTATACAGAAATGCAAGCACATCCCAGGACTATCTTTCTGGGCTCAAGACAGATGGGACAGGAAAAAACATAAAAGTCCCAACTTCACCATGGAAAGGGTTTGAGTGCATACTTCCCAGGCTGCTGCCTGGGGGCTGAGCTTCTAAATAGCTTGTACTTGGCAGCTGATTGGGTACATAATTAGTCGTCATCTGGGAACTTGAACAGATGTGAGGGCATTCCCTGTGCTTTCTTGCTCTGATTCACGCCTCTGATCATTATAAAACTAACTCTCCAGCTTCTCCCTCAATGGAATTTGTCCACGCATATTGCCCCACCTTATACAGATGCACTGGAGGAACTGGCTAGAAAATCACCTAGTTATGGGATAGCTTCCCTTAAGCAGAGAAAACAAAAGGTGTGAAAGAAGTAACATTGTCTCTGCAGATGACATGATCACATGTTTGGAAAACCCTGAAGGCAATGCCAAAAAACTGTCAGAATTAATACATGAATCCGGAAAAGTCTTAAGACACAAGGCCAAAATACAAAAATCAGTGTTGTTTATATACACTTAACAATGAACTATTAGAAAGAAGAAGAGGAAACCAATCCCATTTACAATAAGAACAAAAGAATAAAATATTTAAGGATAAATGTAACCAAGGAGGTGAAAAACATACACACTGAAAACTAAAAACCAATCATGAATAAAATTAGAGAAGACACAGATAAACAGATAATCTATGTCTACAAGTTGAAGGGAATAATACTTTTCCATACCACTCAAAGTGATCTATAGATTCAATGCATCCTTATCAAAATTCCAATGTCATTTTTCACAGAAATAGAGAAAACAATCCTAAAGCAGAACATTAATAGCTATAACAATCTTGAAAAAGAAAAGCAAAGCCAGAGACATCACACTCCATGATTTCAAACAATATTACAAGGCTGTAGTAAGACTCATCAAAAAAAAAAAAAATAGAGGGCCTAAATTAATAAAATCAGAAATGAAAAAGAAGTTGTAACTGACACCACAGAAATATAGATGACCATAAGAGACTATTGGTGTTGCTTAGTCGCTAAGTCATGTCAATCTCTTTGGCTCCTCAGTCCACGGGATTTCCGAGGTGAGAGTACTGGAGTGGGTTGTCATCTCCTTCTCCAGAGGATCTTCCTGACCCAGGGATCAAACACATGTCTCCTGCATTGGCAGGCAAGTTCTTTACCCCTGAGCCACCAGGGAAGATCATAAGAGACTATTAACAGTTATAGTTCAAGAAAATTTATCCTACATGAAATGGATAAATTCTTAGAAAGGTACAAATCCCAAGGTTGAACCAGGAAAAAATTGAAAATATGAACAGACCAATTGCCAGTAATGAAACATACATAGATTTCAAAACATGTAGACAGACACTGCACATTTCACATCCTGCATCATTGCTTTATACTTCGAGATAACTGAAGTAAACAACTTGAAGTTTAAAGTGATCATGCAATGACAATATACATACAAATGCAAGCAAATCAGAAAAAAAGAAAGTTTATATGCAAATATTTTTCAACAGTAGCTAGTTTACTCTTAATGGAAAAAGATTCATAAATTAAAGTTGTAACTCCATGTCCTAAAACTGATAACTCTGACCACCTTAATATCTGTAATCCTCTTTCTCATATATATATATATATATATATATATGAAAATATATATAAAATATCTCAAAAGGTTAATGTGAGAATTAATGAGACTAGTATATGAAAAAAAACTTCTCTAAAGGAAATTATTTTATTATGATTTTCAAGTACAATTTCATACTTTTAGTTTTTACTATAATTTTTCAGTAGTAGAACATAATCATGCTCTACTGTATGTCAATACTGTATGTCAAAACAGAGTTATTGGAGTCTTAACATTTTTTTTTTTACTTACTCATTTCAAAAATTATTCCTTCAAACTGAAAGCATTTTCTCAGGGTTTCTACATATTGACCCCATTTCTTAACCATGTGGAAATCTAAACCCCTATATTATGATTTCTAGTTTCTGGTCTGCAATCTGAAACAGTATAACTATGCCAATTTGAAGTATTTTAATCAGGAAAATATTCAAGATGGAATGTCTTCAATTTAATTAGTTTTTAGTAGCAGTGCACACTTTTCAAATTCTTTTTCTAATTAATATTTACTGACATGTTTTCATTGTCAGTAAATGTGATAGCTATCACTTTAAACTTCAAATTGTTTACTTCAATTATTTAAATATTATCAAATTTCAGGCAAATGTGATATTTTTAGTTTTCCTTTTCTTTGGCCATTATTTCCAATAAGTCTGATGTGTCTGGGTCAGATTCACAGGTCTAAATCTTGCTCTAAACCATTTTTTCTGTCACTTTAACTGTGGCCATTAATAATGTTTTCTTTCCATAAATTGCAGTCTGAACCATTGTCATACTTAATTAATGTTGTTTATTTCTACCAGTATGATTCATCAATAGTATTTAATATTTCTTGAAAATTGTGAACAAGTGCTTCAGAAGAGCCTGAGAGATGAAGGGAAGGGCCCAGGAATTAACAATAAAAACATGTGGCTTTGCAAGTGAATACAAATCAGTATGATCTGATTCAATGCAAAGGTAAATAAAAATAGTCTTAAACTTTTAAATTATAAAAATGATACTCTTTAACTTTTTATTTGATATTGCAGCATAGCCAATTAACAATGTTGTGAGAGTTTCAGGATGGACAGCAAAGGGACTCAGTCACATATATACACCTGTATCCATTCTCCCCCAAACTCCCCTCCCATCCAGGTTGCCACAAAATATTGAGCAGAGTTTCCTGTGCCATACACAGTTTCCTGTGTAGGTCCTTGCTGGTTATCCATTTTAAATAGGGCAGTGTATACATGTCCATCCCACACTCCTGAATTATTCCTTCACTCCATCTTTAAAAGTAATATTGTTGATCATTTACCTGCTTCTCCCAATCTTCACTCTCATTTGACCTTATCTTCTGTGGAACTGTGACATATAGGAACATTCCCTCAGAATCTGTAGTAAGAAAATGGGATTTTTTTTTTTTTTTTTTTTTTGCAACAGTCCTCTAAGAGAAGCATGGATTCTTAAGCTTTGAGTCCATGGTGGGGTCTACAATTGTAAGTCAATTTATCTACGTGTGTCCAGCCTCCTTCCTGGTCCCCAGATTTCCACAGATTTTCAATGGCATACTGAAAATGGCTAGGAAACAAATGAACAGAGAACAGACAATGCTGCAGGACCATCCTATTGGTTTCCAGAACCACGTTGAAGCCTTCCCCTCCGGTCTCTGAGGAATAAAGCCAGGGCAGTACCGAACGTGGTTAAGTCCTCTGGCTACAGAGTGGGTGACCCAGAAAGACCTTCAGCTGCTGAGACAATGCATCCTTGGCTAACATCTTCCATCCCCTATCCTGGTCCGGGGGTGACTGGGGGTGGGAGGAAGGCACCATCAGAGAATCCCAGAAAGGGGCGGCAGGTAGCCTAGAGCTACAGAAATTGCTCCCCAGGAAGATCTCAGTTCTGCTCAGTACCCAGAAGAGGGGGAAGGAAGCCGAGGCTCCGCAGTCTTACCCGGGCTGGCGAGCAGCCCTCCAAGCGCAGCAAGCAGTGTGAGGAGTAGGAACATGGCTGGCTGGGGGGCGCAGGAACCAGAGCCAGGTGAGAGACCGTTGGGTATCCCTGAGGCTCGCGGGCAGAAGCCCTCCGGAGTACAGCATGCCGCCCCGAGCCCTGGGGGTGATGACCAGGGCCTCGAATTAGCTCTCAGCTGCACTGGCTCATCCTTGGGCATCCTGAGTGACTGGGCGCTCGGGGCCGGAAGAAGGAACCACAGACAAAAGCTTGCGCCTGCGCACAGCGCTCTGCGATGACAATATGGATATCCTTCCAACACTTCAGTAGAGATAAAGGCGCAAAGAAGCATGCGGTCCATGGGGTCGCAGAGTCAGACACGACTGAAGCGAATTAGCACGCACGCTCTTCTGGGGAAGTTCCCGGTAATTTCCATTCTCCATCTGACGGTTTTCTAACAGATTTTATTTGCTATGGTGGGAGAGAAAGAGGAAAGTAGCAATATTAACTTTTTTTTTCTTACAAGAAAATTTCTTAAATCGTGCTACTGCCGACTTCATAATCTTTTTTAAAAAAGTCTTTTCAAACACGGAAAAATCAAGAATATGGAACTTGACCCTGGATACGACAATAGAAAGCACTTTTCTTCAGCTGTGTCCCTATTCTTTTTTTTTTTTTTTTTTTTTTTTTTAGTGAAGACCATTTAATACTGCAGAAGGGTAATAAGCAGATCTGGGCAGGAATGCACATAGATGTTAATCTAAATACATTTTTAAAAAACATGGTTTTCTAATAAACTGACAGGACATGAACAGCTTATTCACTTGATAGTCATCCGATATAAAGGCATTGTTATATAACTTTAAAATACACTTAAAAGTTAGGCTTGTGTTTTCTATGTACAGTAGATAAAAGTTTTATTAGATTGCAGAATGTTGTTTCATGGAAATTAAGATAAACATGTTTCACACAAGACATTTTGCCATGAAGTGCAGTGCAGTTGCTCAGTCGTGTCCGACTCTTTGTGACCCCATGGACTGTAGCCTACTAGGCTCCTCGGTCCATGGGATTTTCCAGGCAAGAGTACTGGAGTGGGTTGCCATATACAATGTTAGGTTATACTCTGCTGAGGAAAGGGAAAAGGAAACTTTGAAATGGAATCTAAGAGTGGTTTGTTAAAATTCCGTTTAGAACCATACAAAGGAAGCTGTAGAAATGATACAGCCAGCAAGACAAACTCAAGAGAGGAAAGGGGGCGCCAGGGCAAAAGACAACACAGAACCTTCTGACAAATATCTAAAACTGCTCGGGCTCAAAAGCTAACTCACCTTCTGCCCACCACTCATCCTCACCTTCCTTTATCCCAGGACACACCACAGAAAGGATGTATTGCACCAACAACTACAAAAATAAAGTCTGATTAGGTCTAAAACTTGGACCTAGGAGGCAACAGTACTCCTGGGAAACTGATCCTGAGAAATTAGTTTTAAATAAGGCAGGACATGAATCATAATGGGTCCAAATAAGGTAGTGGCAAAGAGGATGAGGGAAAGGTACTATAGAATCATCCTGATGTGTATGGTTTTTACCACAGAGTTCACCCACTTAAAGCACACAGGTGAATGACTGTAGGATTTTCAATATATTCAGAGATATGTGCAACCATCACCACAGTCAGTTTCTGCTCTTTCATCTCAAAAGCAAGGCCTCTACCCTTTAACTGTTACCATCCCCCCACCCCAGTTTTTCATTCCCCTCTTTCCCACACCCCCCACCCCGCAAGCAGTTAATAATCACTATTCTTGGTCTTTCCAGATGTTCCTGTTCTGTATGTTCCATACAAATGCATAATATATGGTTTCTGTGACTGGCTTTATTCACAGAAACCATGAATAGAATAACAGTTTCAAGAGTCATCCACTTGTCGCATATCAGTGCTTCCTTCTTCTTTGTGGGTGAGTACTATCCCATTGTATGGATGGACCACCTCTTGGGTATCCGTCATCAGCTAGCTGCTTATTTGGAAAAGGAAACTCTTGGCCTTTGTGATGAGCTCCCCCCACGTCTAGCCCAGGATCACTTTCCTAAACCACAAATAACACTTTGAAATGTGCAGAAGCACATCCATTAAGAGAGACAGCAAGTCTGGGTCCTTCAAAGGACAAGATATATTCTAGAACTCAATTTTCCATGAGGCCAGGGAAGTATCACTGGAGATAGAATAGTTACCTATGACCAGAAACTCAGTTTAATTCCTTGAAGGTAGAATGGAGGCCAGGGACTCTCTGAGGGCCCTGGGCCTGTCCTGACCTACAACACTCAGTATCCTCTTAATCTCCCAAAGCTTGGAATGGGTAGCGCATGAGAATCACAAGCTACTGGAGACAGTGGACCCAGGTGTCCTCTCTTGAGATGGGAGTGATTAGCAGGGCTGTGGGCATCTGAGCTCAGGCAGTCAGTGGCAGAGTGCATAATGGAATGTGTCTTTGGGATGGAACAACCTCCCAGGACCAACTAGAGGATCATGGAAGTATAAGGACTGAAACTGAGCAGGACCCTGTGGGGCCCTCCTGGGCACAAAAGTCTTTCCATGTCTCCCATTTCTTATTTGAAGGAAAAAGGCTTTCAGCTTCCTCAACCTTCCTTGAGTTTCAAAGGGCATTTTCAGACAGTTGCTAACCAGGGAAGTGAGGGAAGGCAGGAAGAAACAATAGTGCAGCAAGGGGCCTGGCGCTGTTTCTCCTCGGGTGATGCGCCTAGGAGTTTGTACATACCTTTAGTTCTTCAGCAGGAACTAGGACCACCTCAACCCAGACGGAGGAGGTCACTTCAGGCTGAGCACAAGCAAGTGGACCCACACTGATTGGAAAGGCTGATGGCTGAGATGGTCGGAACACGGCCCTGTTATCTCACCACCAACCAATCAGAGGAATGTTCCACATGCTGCCGCCTTTGTCCCTGAATTTTACCTATAAAAAATTCTTCCCCAAAAGTGATCAGGGAGTTTGGGTTCATTGAACATTAGCCTCCTATTCTTCTTGGTTGGTCCCTACAATAAACCTTTCTCTGCTCCAAATACTGTGATTTCCATTTGTTTGGCCTCAGTGTGCATCGGGCACATGAACTTGGGTTTGAGAATATAATCAAATGAGACAAAAGCCTACATGCTTTCACTCACAGGATTTATTTTGGCTTGTGAAATTGAAAACTTTAAGCCATCACAAAAGGAGAGAAAAGCAGATTTTTTTTTTTCCATTCTTGAATCAGGCCAGATAATGGTTTGTTTCTTGATAACATCTTTTCTCCAAGCTGTGTTTTTTGAAATATTGTTTAGCCACTGTTGTAAAAGAGACATAGAAAAATAAAAATGCTACATTTTATAAACTAACATAAGCTGTCTAATTTTACTACAATGTTATAGGTATATCAATTAATTAGTATAATAAGACAGTTTATACTGTCACAATCTATGACTGTGCTCCAAAGAATTTGTAAACCCAGGTTTTTTTGTTTGTTTTGTTTAATCTTTTTCTAGAAACATCTGTGATAGTCACATTAAAAGGAAATGCTATGGAACAGTATTTATGTATGTCTCTAAAACATGAGTCAAAGAAAATCATGAACAAGGAAACAGAGAGGAAAAGAGCAATAAGTATGTGAAGAAGGAAATAATTACTGTTTTCTCTATTTTTATCTACAGGGGAAGAGAACTTCCAGTCTTCTGTGCATTTCTGACCGGTATCACACATGTTCAAAACAAACTCCTTCTTCACTCCCCTCTGCTTTATCACTCCAACACCAAATGGGTTCTCACCAACTGTACAGTATGTCAATAGTAAAAGGTATCCATTGAGTCAGAATGTTTAAGTCTTCATCGCCCTCTTTTATTCTAAGCCAAATACATCCACTCAGTCACGACTTCAACCAAGTCTACCCCTTAGGTCTCAAAACCTACTACTCTTTCCATATCATCCAATCCTACCCTCATGACACTTTTACTGTGCATTCCATTTTACTTGTCTCCAGTTCTGCCTGAATCTGACCACATTTTCTCCTAATATATTCCTGTGAAATCTTTTAAAGGAGGATATTATCATGCTAAATCCCTCCCTTTACCACTTCAAAATTAGTTAATACTTCAACTACATTCCTATTTGGGTTTCCCCAGTGGCTCAGCAGGTAAAGAATCTGCCTGCAATACAGGAGACATGGGAGATGCGGGTTCAATCCCTGGGTCGGGGAAAATCCCCTAGAGGAGGAAATGGCAACCCACTCCAGTATTCTTGTTTGGAGAATCCCATGGAATAGAGGAGCTTGGCGAGCTAAAGTCCAAACAATTGCAAACCGAGCAAGCATGTTCCTACTCATAAATGAGAAACTTTAACCTTTATACAATGGCATATCAGACACCTGTCTTGGCTCATGATTACCTATGCAGATTTTTCTCTTTCAACATCCATAAATTTTCAAATAAATTTTTAAATATATTAAGAGCACACATTTAGGAACAGAGAGCTCTGAGTTAACTTTGTGGCCTTGCTGTCTCTCCGCTCTATAAGAAATGAACATCACCTAAGCACTGTTTCTTACACTCTATAGCCAAACTCTCAACTCACTCTGTTGGTTCACATTCAAAATGTATTCCTAAGACCATCTTTACTATCCCTTGTATGAGGTAACATCCTTTGTCTCCTGGATCAGGCCTGGGGTTTTTTTCATTGGATCTTTCATGTGCTTGAAAAGCTCCTGCCTAGGTGCGTGTAGGGATAGCTCTGCCAGCTTAATGCCTGTGAGACAGGGGTGGTTTACAGCTGCAGTGGAGCTGTGAGTCTTAACCTGTGGGAAAGCCTGAATACCTGGCTTCTATTTTTGCCGAGAGAAGGGCAGTGGGATTAATGATGGGCTGTTTAAAATTTAAAATAAGAAACTTTTGACCTTGTGCCTGAGGCGTCTCTCTGGCCCCCAGTGCACGCCTGCATTCCTCTCTTGCTGCCCTGCCTCCTTTGCATTTAAATTAAAGCCTTCTGTGAGTTGGGCTCTGTGATGTCAGGTGACTCCTTTCAAATATCTAAACTGCATAATTATCTGTACCTCCTCCAACTCTTGGCTAACACATCACTTGCCCAACAGGGCTTACTCAGTCGGCCATATTTAAAATTGCACCCCAGTTCCTCCTTCTCTTATCTTTTCCATATAGTGAGTTACCTTTCAGCACACTTTACAATCAACTTATAAAATATATTTATGGAATGAATGTGTCAAATTATGGAGGCAAGTCCTTAATATAATCCTAAAATAGTGCTGGTAAGAAATGATTGTGAAAAATAGAAAAAAAATGTAAATGAAAGCATGATACTGAAGTTATGACTTAGAGCTGGGGAAAAAAAACAAAAGACAAAACAAAACAGGGAGATGGAGAGCTCAGTGTATCACTGTAGGAGAAAATGGCTGAAGTTGTGTGGAGGTGAGGAGTGCAGGTGAAGGCACCCAGCATGATGACGAAACTATGATTGTAGGACATGAGAATAAGACAGCCAAGGGCCAAAATCTTCACCTGAGATGTGGGCTTTTAATAACATGATCAGAGAAGAGGTGGAGATTGGTCTAGGCATAAGTAAGACTACTTTACATTGAGGAAGTGAGTTATAAATGTTTTCTTCACTGGCAGAAAAGGAAATAGAGATCCATTGATTTCACTCTCCATCACAGTTATATATGGCAGGTAAGTAAAGAGATGAACTCACAATCTCATTCTTAGATGAGTTTCTCATTTTTTTCCTATACTCCCAGTGATAAGTCTAATATGTGAAATATCATGATTTCTTTACACATTTGAGTTAGAAATTTGAACAACATATACAGAAGCCTTCGATATCCCATACTATAATAAAGAATTGTTCTTCTGCCCTGCAGAGTGAGTGCAGTTGGCATTTGCCTGGCATCTACTAGCTCCTCAAAAAATGTAAATTCCATTCCCCATCCCCAGTCTTATATCAGAAAATATGTGGGAAAATTGTGGAGTTTTTAAGAGTTTCAATCCTGGAGTCTGCTTATCTTAAACTTGAACTCAAAAACTCCCTAACATTCTGTATATGAGGGGAATAATTTACACTCTTTGTCTGTTTCCTTATATATAAAATAAGGAGAACAATAACCAGGGAGTTAGTGAGTAATAATACAAGTGTTGGGAGAAAATTTGTGTAAACCTCTCAGTTAGAATCTTAAATCTATTGATCAAATGCATGATTGCTTACAAATATTTTAAGAACACATTTAAAATCTCTTTAAAGTCATTTCTTTTTACAAAAATGTTTGTTAATAAAACTGTGGCTAATGTGAATAACATTAAATCTTTCCAGATAAATATAAAATAAAATTAAATCAAATACTTTGTTTTGATTTTTAATTTAGTATGTGACAGTAACAAATAGAAATTAAATGATTAAATATGGAAATAATTAACTGAGGTAATGTTAAAAGTATTTTTAAGTATTTAATGAATTATATGATATTGTCAATAACTTGATTCCTTTACTTCACCTTTCACTTGACTGGGTGCTGTTACTACTGCTGACTTCTTATAAAGATCTATATAAAAGAATTAGAATTATTTCTAAGGTTAGGAAATACTGTAATCTTAAAGTTACAAAAACCACAAAAACTAGATTTGTACTGGTTATTCAATTAATATGTAACAATATCCACTTTGCTTCCTATATTCCATTCAGGGATCATATATTCTATTGTTTGGTTTTTTTCTAATGTTAGTCTAACTTTTACATATGTTAAGCATTTTTCAAATTTCAAACTTAAAATCTATCTATTACTTTTCTCTATTTTGTCTACTTGGAAAATAGGATAAAAATCTATGATAATGATATCTTTTTCATTTATCTATAGTAAATCATAGATTTATCTGTGATTTAAGTGATAAATCACATAAATAAATCATATCATTTATCTATGATAAATCATGATGTTTTTATCATTTATCATTTATCTGTCATTTATCATTTATCTATCCATATTTTTATCATTTATCAATTATCTATGATAATGCTTCTCCAAAGTTAAGCAGATAATTTACATATGAATTCTTAAGTTATCATAGCTTCAATTATATTATTTTTATAAAATAACTATGTAAATAGTTATTAGCTCACTTCTGTTAATGAGGTCTTTAAAGAGGCCTCTTTCATTTATGCTTAGTTACAAATTTCGGTATTTACACAGTCTCCATTTTTCTTTTGGCTCGCATACACACTCAGTTCCTGTTGAAAGGAAATGTCATGGTATAAAAGCTCCTCCTAAATTCTTTGGCTACATGATAAAATCAGGTTTGAACACCTAACTTGTGATTATAAATCCTGACAGAACACTGGCTGAAACTAGAGGCACTAGCACAGCTATTTACTTCATCTCTTGATAAAATGGGAGCTTCCTCAATGGTTCAGCAGGTAAAGAATCGGCCTGCAATTCAGGAGACTCAGTTCCATCCCTGGATCAGAAGATCCCTTGCAGGAGGAAATGGAAACCTACTCCAGTATTCTTGCCTGGGAAATCCCATGGACAGAGGAGCCTGGACTACAGTCCAAAGGGCCACAAATATTCAGATGCAACTAAGTATGCATGCATTTGATAAAATGATTTAATAGGCTCTGTTTTGAGAAATTGAGGTTTTTATTTGAAAATGAAACTACAAGGGGTTAAGAGAGGTACTCTGGGCATGTAACCCAATTAGTTATTTTGGAGAGGATAGTCATAGAGAAGAAGTGTAAAAGTGTGTATAAAGTGTGTATAAAGTAGCTCAGTCATGTCCGACTCTATGTGAACCCACAGACAATAGACCATAAGGCTCTTCTGTCCATGAAGTTCTCCAGGTAAGAATACTGGAGTAGGTCTCCATTCCCTTCTCCCGGGGCTCTTCCTGACCCAGGGATTGAACCTGGGTCTCCTGCATTGCAGGTGGGCTCTCTACCATCTGAACCACTAGGGAAACCCTATGGAGAAGAAGAGATGATGTCAATCATAAAGCCTTTGGGTAATAGAGAGAATGACTGAATCCGTAACCATAGAGTTCCTGACCATCATTTTGCGTTTCAGCTCTACATCATTTCTTGCCCTTGAACCCCTGAAACCACTCACTGATGCTCTAAAATTTAGGCTGTCATGAGCACTATTCAGATTTTTCTAAGGTGTCTTAAGTAAGAGCCCAGGAAGATTTTTGTTAGATATAATTCAATTAAGTCAACTTGTAACATTTGAATGATTATGTAAATGTCCATATGAATCATGCAGAATACTACCCTGAATTTACTGGTTGCTGCTAACTTGTTTATAAAACTAAGCTGTAATGTTGATAGAAATTGTATATTATTATTTTATCTCTGATAAACAAAGGAGGAATAGAAGTTATTTCCTTTACAATGAAGAAATGAGACCCACTTCTTTATCCTTAACACTGCATTCTCAACTTGCTAATATTCTCTAAGCAAATTGTGGCTTTTATTGGTGTTACAGTGAAAAAAAAGCTGTATGACAGTGGAATAAATCAGACAGACAGAAGTATGATCCACCTATATGTGAAATATAAAAAAAAACACAACCCTTATGGATACAGAGATGAGATTGGTGGTTGCCAGATTAATAGGTAGGGGTCTGGTGAGCTAAATAGGTAAAGAGGGCCAAAAGATACAAATTTCCAGTTAAAAAATAATTATGTCATGGGGATGTAATGCACACCTGCTGACTTCAGTCAATAACAAATTGCATATTTGAATCTTGCTGACATAGGTCTTAAA